CCCCCCCCCCCCCCGCCATCGGACGCGCCGCGTCACTGGCGTCAGCCATGCAGGGCGGCGGCGGCGGCGGCGGCGGCGGCGGAATTGATCGGCGCCTCTGCGAGCTGCCATGCCCGGGCGGCACGGTCAATAGCTGATTTGGGAGCGCCGCCGGCTGTAATCAGCGCGGCGGCGGCCGTCACCGACGCGACTAATTGCTCCACCTGGGCCTCGGGAGGGAGTCGCCCTGCAGCGGCCTCTCAGGACCGGCGCCGGGACCTGCAGCGGCCAGACGGGGCCAGGACGAGACATGCGCGGCCAGTCAGGCCGGCGGAAAACCTGCGGCGGCCAGTCAGGCCCGGTGGCGGGACCTGCAGCGGCCAGACGGGGCCAGGACGAGACATGCGGCGGCCAGTCAGGGCCGGCGGCAAGACCTGCGGCGGCCAGTCAGGACCGGCGGCAAAACCTGCAGCGCCAGTCAGGGTCGGCGGCAGAACCTGCAGCGGCCAGACGGGGCGAGGACAAGACCTACAGAGGCCAGTCAGTGCCGACGGCAGGCCCTGCAGAGGCCAGACAGGACCGGCGGCAGAGCTGCGGCGGTCAGACAGGATCGGCGCATGACCTACAGCGGCCAGTCAGGACCGGCAGCAAGACCTGTTGCGGCCAGTCAGGACCGGCGGCAAACCTGCGGCGGCCAGACAGGAGCGGCGGCATGACCTACAGCGGCCAGCAGGATCGGCGGAGGGGACCTGCGGCGGCCAGTCAGGACCGGCGGCGGGACCTGCAGCGGCCAGTCAGGACCGGCGGCGGGACCTGCGGCGGCCAGACGGGGCCAAGATGGGACTTGCAGCGGCCCACCAGGACCGGCGGCGGGACCTGCAGCGGCCAGACAGACTGGCGGCAGGGACTGCGGCGGTCAGACAGGATCGGCGGTTTGACCCACAGCGGCCAGTCAGGGCCGGCGGCAGGACCCGCAGCGGCCAGACAGGACCGGCGGCAGGACCTGCAGCGGCCGGACAGGACCGCGG